CGAGTTTCGATGAAGCTCCTAAAATAACATTTTCGTGATGTCATGTATTTGATTTAAGTGCCTAATTAAGAAATTGGTCGATCGACCAGAAGACGTCTGATTCCTGTTATATTGCAGTCATTTCATTATACTGTGGATTTTTAGCTGACAATCTACAAGCTCCTCCTCTCTTTAGAGTAGAATCATGATTATCCTTAGTCCTTGATATGATAGGAATTTCGGAGCTGGGATTCGTTCTTGAAAACCTTCAAGTTAGCACAAAATCAAGAACACTATTGGTGACTTTTTGAGATGTCTCATAGATTACCTCAGCTTGAACTTCGTGGTAAAATCAACGAACGCAAAGCAATGGGAATCAGCCGTTATCTCCAGATGAGATTAAACTGCGAATTTTATCATTAGGCATTTTCACAGAAAGTGAAGCCCATCACTATCACGAATATTAGACATCTAAAAGCAATTATTGCGTTTCAGCTACCCATATGAGTTGAATGGTCCGACCATATTCTATTATGCACTTAACGAACAAGAAAAGTCCTTACTTGGACCATTTAACAGGTTCGATAAGATTTTACTACAAGCTTCATTAAGACTCAATCCAGAGAACTAAGTCACTCGTGAGTCTATTAATCCTGAGCCATCAATCCAAAACAAATATTACTTTTAAAACAAATTTTTTCAAAAAGAACGTTTATTAGGAAATCATATCGATAAGTAAAAGTTTGCTTCTATCATATATATAATAGTAATATTGCAAAAAGAAAAAGGCATATACAGAGATATATTCAATGCAAAAACTAAATATGAAGTATTTAATAAACTAAATCACACTACCTAAAAGTAGTATAATATTATATGATAACAAAGCTCCGAATGAAGTAAATCAAAAAGTATACTATAAATAAAATGTTGATTTAACCTCGTTTTCGCAGTTTGATCGGGGCAACAGGAAGACCTTGCAAAAATTACTTGGTCCTGTGTCCGTTGTCATAATATTGATGATTTCGAGCATCGGACCGTTGATTTGGTACATTCCCAGACATTTGGCAGGTATCGCCAGTGAGAGGCGCCATCGTTTACAGAGGTACGACTTATAGTGGAGTAAAAGCAATCCACTTGAGTAATTTTTTGATCAATTGTTGTGGCATCTATCCTCTTCCCTATTTTTGTCCTATCGTCTAATGTTACACCGTGTCCTCTCAACCCTACTTCATATGGCTAATTTACCTATTCCCACCATTCTGTCCTCATTTCCTCATACGTCGCCTAAGATCAAATCACTTAAAGTAGATTTAGTGAAGTTTAATTACCTTCACCACCAGCTTCAGATGCTGATTGAACAAAAAATTGGTCAGGGAAATTTTCTTCACTCTGTGCTAATGATGGCGCATCTCACTGATGCCGGCGAAACATCTGGGGATCTACTAAGTCAATGGTCTGACGCTTGGAATCATGAATACTATGACAAAGGACGCAAGACTATGTAAGTTCCAAAGTCTCTCTATTGCTAAATAAGTTAGAGGAATGAGGTCAGACCAACACTAAAGAATTAAAGGAAGCTGCAACCAAACAAAAGGCCGCACCATTTGGCCTTCATATCTTCGATATAATACAAATTTTCGTATGCAAAGTTTCGAGACTACCATTAAATCAGTAATGAGATGTATTCACCCTATTTCGTGTAAGATGATGAAGGACTAGTAGTAGAATCTAATCGCAATATGAATAAAGCTGACGTTTCCATTGAATTTCAAATAGCCTTGCTTTCCTAAATTAACCACTCGGCCACATTGACACGAGTGCTCTTAGGTGACAAGGCAGGTGTGAATTTAAATGAAGGCCAGGTCTTTACCCATATCACAACGTATTTTTGCCATAACGATCGACTACGTTACTTATTTTTCGTATGTAAGTAGAATTTCGAGACTACCATTAAATCAGTAATATGAGATTGGAAAGCAAGGCTATGCGAAATTTAATCGAAACGTGAGCTCTATTCATTAGTGTGGTTAAATTCTGCTACCAGTCTTTCATCACCTTAAACAAAATAGGATGAATACATCTGATATAATACAAATATAG